CCCATCCACCCACCCACCCATCCATCCACCCACCCATCCATCCATCCATCCATCCATCATCCAGCCACTCATCTCCCCAGATGTGTACTGAGCTACTTTGTCAGAATCCTATTCTAAGACCAAGTGACTTCCCAAGTCCTTCTGGGGGGGACAGATCAACACAAAACAGAACCCCTCCCTGCCTGATCTCACACAGTCCACAGTGGGGACAGGACCTTCCCAATGCTACTGTGGGGAGAGGAGCGCATTCAGCCTGGGGTCAGACAACACCTGGAGCCAGTCTGTCTGCCACGCCCAGGCTCTAGGTCTTAACCTCCCTCTCCGCCCTCACCTGTCAAATGTGAGCAGACCTCCCTGGGAGGGTGTGGTGAGGACGCTCTGTGGTGAAGGCCATCACGAAGCCCACTTGGGTCTCACTCGGCTTTCACTACTACCAGGCACTTGTTGAGTACTTAGTACTGCCAAGGGTTTTGAGGTCCTAGGGATACCTTATAACAGAAGGTACCGACCCCCCCAAAGCCTACCTGTGACGTTTACATCAGGGTAGTAACCAAATAAATGCAGAGTGAGATGCTGTAGAAAACAAAGCCAGGTCTGGGGCTGGAGCTGGCTTTGCTGCTTCTCTGCACTCAGCTTTCCGGTCTCAGCTACCCGGGGGTCAAGGGCTTGTGGTTTTGAAATACAGCTTGGCTGTATTTCTGGCTCCCTGGAGAGTTTTCATCCTGCGGGTCACGTCATGCTCAAGGCAACCTTGTGCAGTGGGAGAGGTTTACAGCTGAGAACACCAGGTCAGAGAAGAGAGTGATGTGTCCAGAGTCTCAAGACTTTGCATCAAGACAGGATGTAGCCCTCCTTGCCCACCTCCTGATGATGTGGGCCTTGGAGCAGAAGCCTCACCTCTGTGCTGGCCACCGAAGTTTTGCAGCCACTCCTGGGGTTGGTGGGGTTGGGTGGGAGGGGACAGTGCGCCGGGGACCCATTCAGCAGATGTGCAAGGAGAAGCTCAGGGCAGAGGACCCCAGCATCCCTGTAGGAAGGGACACCTCTAGACTGTTTCCTAGCGAGTCCACCCCTCCTGCTTTCTAGGAGATACAGGGGCGTCACGTAGCCAGGATGGTTGACTACGGCATGAGAGTCACGCAGATGGTGGCTCATTGGGGCTGCAGCAGAACTGGCAAAGGCAGGACCCACCTCTGCAGAGGCAGCGGGAAAGGCTGCTTCCCTCGGTCCCGGACACTGGGAGTTTCCCACAATCCTCAGCTCCAAGATGGCGGCTGCAGGCTCATCTGTGGTGTCTGCCCGCCCCTGCAGGGAAAGGGTCTGGCCAGCTAGCCGACCCCCCCAGCCCACGATGTGCTGCTTCTCCAGTGCACAGAGTGGCCTGCTTCACCCAGCACAGGACAGTCCTGAGGCGGCAAACCGCTCTGGGCAGGTTATCCCGAACTGAGCCCTGCCTACTCTCTGAGCCCTTGGTCTACTCTCGCCTCAGGAACAGTTCTGGGGCCCAGGGGCTAGTGAGTTCCAGCCCTTCCCTTAACTATCCTGGCTGTTCAGTCCATGGCTGGCCCTCCTGACAAAATCGGCTGGTGAGCCCGTTGCTGGGTGTGCTGGGGTGAGTTTTCTACTGAAAGCTCAGCCCTAGCTCCTTGTTAGCCCAGGCAGGGTGGAGAAGCTCTGTAAGCCTGTTAGCCACTGTGTGCCGTCCTGGGGGTTCAAGCGGCCTCAGACTTCACTTTGAACTTGGGGATCCAAGAAGTGCCCCGGGGGCTGCTGTCTGCAGAGATCCTGAGTGGTGGGGGGCGAGGCGCTCCCTCCCGGGCTTGCTGTTCCTCTGTTATTTGCCAGCCCCAGACCACTCTGGCCTTGGAAGAGAGGGCTTGACGCTGATTTCAAGCCACCCTTCCCGCCCCCAAGATGGGGACACCCCCAGGGGTGGGGGCTCACTACTCTGCTCCCTATAGTTCTACTAAAGTCACTTTTCAGGAAGGAACTTCCTAGCGGAGTGAGACCAGCCTCAGTGAAGCAGACTCGGCTCCCCCCAGCCCCCCAGCCCCTCTGGCTCCAGCTTCCAGTCTCATGGGCTCCTACCCTCTCCATGGTCCCAGGGTTCCCTTGGGGTGGGCTGACAGCAGGCACGGTGAAGGAGGGGACGGAGGAAGTCAGCCATGGTGGAAGAACTCTGAGAGCCCTCATTTCATAAATATATATTTTTGTCAGTGAAAAAGCTTGCACATTAGAAAAACGAGTAAGGCTGAGGTTGAAAGATGGTTCCTGTCCCCTGGACCATGATGCTGTCCCCCTGCCCTGGGAGAGAGCCTGGGGAGGGGACAGCTGGCTTTGAGGAGGCTGGTCCTGCTGTAGTGGGGCCCCCCTCCACCCCCCACTCTGCAAACCTGCTTTGTTGCACAAGGGCAGTTGTCAGCCCGGTACCGATGACCGAGGACAGCCACAGAGCCCCTCCGCAGATGCCAGGGGTTCGGTTCACAGCCTGGCTGGCTGCTGACTGAGCTGCCCCACCATGGGGCGCTCTGGGCCCTCAGTGGGCTGGTGAGAAGGCCTGGACCACAGGCTCCCAACTGAACACAAGAATAATAGTTACAGCAAGGCACTGGATAAAACTCCAGCCCTTCCAGGGGTCTCCCCGGCAGAAGGGAGTGGTCCTCATTGGGTCGGCCTATTCTTCATGCCCAGCTGTTCCTTGAGGGCCTGCAGCTGGGTCAGGCTGATGTTGCTGCCCCCACAGACAATGATCACGAGAGAGGACAGCGGGGTGCGGAGCTTGCCCTCGCCCTGCAGCTTCTGGATCACCTGGCTGTAGACGGTGGCCAGGGCTGCCCCACAGGCGGGCTCCACCAGGATCTTCTCATCATCTGCAGGAGGACAGAGGTGGTGAGGGTGGGGCCTGGATCCCACAGGGTGCAAAGGACCTCCCGGGCCTGTGGTAGAGCATGGGGTCACAAGTCATAGCTCTCAGCCCAGCCGCAGGCTCAGTTCTGGCCAAGCCTCCCACCGTTCCCCTAGATGGACCCCATCCCTGAGTTAGGGCTAGGTTTCATCATCAGTGCTAATAAAATGCTCATGCAATGATTGTGACTGCCTGAGCACTGTGCTGAGAAGCCACCTGAGGTGTCATCTGACAAGAGTGCCTTGGTTGATTAGCCACTGGCATGAGAGAATGAAGTGGCAGCAGACAGTCCTACTCTGTGCGTGGACATGGATGTGGGTGTACATGTGCATGCCACCCCTGCCCCTGTCCCAGAAAGACCCTAACTTAGTTCCAAAGTGACCCCTGAATCCAGTCTTGTGCCTACACTGTTTCCCTTTTCACCCTGGCTACCAGGAAGCTCAGAGGCAACGCTTTAAATAGTTATTCCCTTCTGCCATGGTTGCCAGGCTTACTTTTCCGTGTACAGCTTTAGCCTTTCTGTTGTTAGCAAACATTGAACTAGCATGAGTGGGCATGAGTGGAGGGGTGAAGGGGAGACGGACTGTGAGACTTGTGGCAAATGGAACCCCTTGTCACATCAAGGGGGCACCTAGCTCCTGAACCCTATGTCGGGTCTGGAAAGGACTTCCCACATACCTACAAACTTCTCAAGGGCATCCACAGCTTCCTGGTCCGAAACAGTTTCAGAGAAAATGGGGTGTTCCTGAAACAACTTCAGGGCCTGAGCCCCCACAGTCTTCACACCCAGTGCCTTGGCAACACTGGGGATAAGGCAGGCGATAGGAGTGCGGGGACAGATGGGAGAAGGAAGAGGAGACACAGAGGGGTGGGGAGAGAAAGAAAAGGTGGATGTGAAGAGGGGGCAGCATTAAGGACTGTGGGTGGGGAGTGGGGTGCCCCCTCTGCAGCTGTGAAGCACTAAAACACCCTAGGGGCTCCCCAAAATGTGGGGGTCTTCTGAAAAAGCACAGATCCCTTGAATGGTGGCAAGTAACCATTTTCTGTTCAACCTCCACTATCAGAAGCAAGTGCCCGTAGGGTCCCCTGAGAGGACTCCCGGCCTTTGTTCCAGGTTATCACCTCCACCTTCACCCTCACTCAACTTAGTAGCACTCTGCCTGCCCAGGTCCTGCCCTGTCCAAGGCTCCGGGTTAAAGCCGCCACTTCCAGGAAGTCCTCCGGGGAGCATTCAGCCCCATGAGGAATTCTTAAATGAACTCCCCCCCTTAACACATAATGAACTCTTGAGAAAGTGCTAGTTGCCCACCACGCACTTTGTAAACATGATTTAACTCTCATAATCTTTGCTCGTAATCAGTTCAATTCTCTAGAAGGAGAAATAGGCAAAAAGCATAAAGACTTCCCCAAGGTCACGTGCCTGGGTCCGAAGCAGGACCTGCGCTCAGCATGTTCAAGTTTCTCCCCAAACCAACACACACACACACGTGACTTTCAGTCCTGTACCTGGCTCATCTCACCTACGAGCATCTCAGGCTTGGGCCACCTTAGCACTTAGACCAACATAAAGCCCAGGCCAGGTGCCCAGCCATTATGTCTTCCCTCCTCACACGGTCGGCCCAGAGGCTAACACGGTAACTCTGGGGCACTGGGCACAGGATTCCAG